GCGCGTATCGCGATACGCGCCATGGGACAGCACCCTTAGAAAACGGATCAATAAATTTAAAGCTCGGTCTACAATGAGTTGAATAAACCACGAATCAAAGATTTTATATTAAATAAACCAATTGGCGCGACGTGCGCTATCGGATTCCTCTCTGTTTATTGTCACGAGCAATAAACACTTCCTACTCGGGATGCGTTCGGAAACTTAACCCAAGTGTTCCCAATGTAGCATTTATCCTTGTTTTATTATATATATATTATAATTTTTTATTATAAAAAAGGTAAAGGGAAACATTAAAATATGTTTTTATAGCTTTTTATAAACAATATCGATTATTCGATATTTTATTCGATATATTGATTATTTATTCGATATTAACTAGAATAGTTTTTAAATTAATTAATATATTCATATTCGATACTTTTTCTCGATATCGACATCTCTACTGCGTACTGTTTATACACAGTGAATAGGTGTATTGACCTCATCAGCGAGCCCCATTCCATAAAAACCATGGAACAGACTGTTACTGTCGCCGATCCATCTTCGACTCGTACAGGTAAATTTAAAGTAAAAATTTTTAAGTGCATAGTACATATTGTTACGCCCGCGTTTTGGACGTCCGGTATCTGGCGAGTCGCTTGGCTATCGAGTCGTGGAAGTTTAATAACTATATTATTGATTCTGAGTTTGGCCCCTGCCTTGAGCAGACGCCTCGTGGGCCGATTATTATTCTTTTCTGTATTAAACATTGTTTTCTAATCTAATATCACATTTCTCGAAATGATTTTTGTATTCGTTTAAATGTAAAATCTACATGTTATGAGCCCGAAAAATATCTTTGGAGAATGTTTATTAACTTATTTTTGTTTCTTGAATTAGAATATACTTTTGAAATTATGTTCAATATATTGTAGGAATCAGAACTATTGTATCCAAGAGACGGCCAGGCCGGCCAGGGAGAGCAGCACTGCAACGATCGCGTGCAAAATGCCAAGAACGGCGAAAACTACGCGTTCTTGCAGCAGTTGCAGAAGCGGCCAATAATTTGCCACCAAGCAAAGGAGGGCAGGAGCAGCAGGAGCAGCAGCAGCAGCAGCAGGAGCAGCAGCAGGAGCCGCAGCCGCAGCCACAGCAGCAGCAACAACAGCAGCAGCAACAACAGCAGCAGCAGGAGCAGCAGCAGCCTTTAGAAAATAAACTTCTAAAGCTGCAGAAGCTGCGCAAAGAAATGCAGAACCTGCAAAATGAGATAAACACCCTGCAACGTAACACTGATGGAAGCAGCGGTAGGGGCAGTGGCTGGGTCAGAGGCAGGAGCAGAGGCCGGGGCAGAGGCAGGAGCAGCGGCTGTTGGGACAGAGGCAGAGACATAGGAAGAGACAGAAGACAAAACATTACTATAATCTACCAGAAATATGCAACTTTGCGCTTCTAAATATATTTTTTTAAATAATACAATTGTGTATATTTATTCATACCTAATTTATTTTTCAATTATGTGCTTTAGAAATCGTTTTAGAGACTCTCAATATATTGTAGGAATCGTTTTAGAGATTGGCTCAATATATTGTAGGAATCAGAACTATCGTATCCAATAGACGGCCAGGGAGAGCAGCATTGCAACGATCGCGTGCAAAATACCAAGAACGGCGAAAATTACGCGTTCTTGCAGCAATTGCAGAAGCAACGAATAATTTGCAAACAAGCAAAGGAGGGCAGGAGCAGCAGCAGCAGCAGGAGCAGCAGCAGCCCTTTGAAAATAAACATCTAAAGCTGCAGAAGCTACGGAAAGAAATGCAGAAACTGCAAAAGGAAATAGAGACACTGCAAAATAATAGTGATGGAAGCAGCGGCATGGGCCTGTGGCTGGGTCAGAGGCAGGAGCAGCGGTTGGGTCAGATGCAGGAGCAGCGGTTGGGGCAGAGGCAGGGCTAGGGGCTGTGGCAGTGGGAGGGGCATAGGAAATGCTAGAGGAAGAGACAGGAGACAACATATAACTATAATATATCAGAAATATGCTACTTTGCATTTATAACACACACACGCACACGCACACGCACACGCACACGCACACGCACACGCACACGCACACGCACACGCACACGCACACGCACACGCACACGCACACGCACACGCACACGCACACGCACACGCACACGCACACGCACACGCACACGCACACGCACACGCACACGCACACGCACACGCACACGCACACGCACACGCACACGCACACGCACACGCACACGCACAC